TGCTATTCTTGTTACAAGAAGAAATTAATTCAGGCAAAATTACGATAATGTTTGGTAATGACGTTCCCAGTAAAAAAAATCATAATCCTGGTGAATAAAACTAAATTATACGGTATTCAATCAAAAATGAATAACGTAACTATCTTTAATTTAGCTTTCTATTTAAAGTGTAGTTTCTTTCAAAATATGATAAAAACTAAATCAGTGGTTTTACAAAAACTATAGTAAGCAGAATCCAAGAAACTATATCTTAAGAAGAAAAAAAACTAACTGGGAGATTTGATAAAAGAATTATTATTTCCAGGCAAAGAAAACAACAACTGTATATTTAAATATTTTTATCATTTTCCAATTTTTTTTCGCAACTGATTCAAATTTGATTCCTTTTGGAAAATCTTAACTATCTTGAAATTACTAACCTTACTATCTTTGAGTCAAAAAGTCAAAATTAAATACCTAACTATCGTTAAATTAAACTTTTATTCGAATTAGGGAGTCTTTAAAAAATAATAAATGTAGTAATTTTACTGATATTGTAGCTAAACGAAACCATAAAATATTTCTCATTTTTCATTAGATAATTATATATAAATATTTTCAATTGAAAATTTATCAAAAGCAAAGCAATTGTATCCTAGTTTATTTCTTTTCAAATTATCAAATATGCTTTTAAACATAAAATAAAAATAGAAGATCTATGTAAAATATTTTAAGAAATAAATAAAAAGTATCTTAATTTCAGCTCCATATCTGTTTCAAAATGAAATTGAAAATTTTTGCTCTTGAAATGTTTTTAAATGTAGATAAATTTAACTATAATATTTTAGTTAACTTAATGAGATATTCTGAAGGCAAATTAAAAAAAAATCATTTCATCAGAAATTTCAAAAGAACATTTCATTCCTTAAAAACTGTAAAATTTTAAATTCTTAGCTTTCTTAGAAAATTATTGTAAGGAAATGTTTATGAATTAAGAAAGATTTCTTTCTAAATGAGAAATTTCAAAACAAGTTTTATACATTTATAAATTATAATCATGATTTTATTTCCGTCATAAACAAGAATTTTTTTTTTCAGTGTAAAATTTAGATCGCGCATATTTATTTAAATAAACTTTCTTAGGAATATATCATACTTTATTTAATTATGTTTGATAAGCGAAAATGGAAAGCAAAGGTTCAATAATTGTGAATTAAAATGTGGAATTTAAAGTTTTAAATTTATGTTACCTTAAAAACTTATCTTCAAAATTATTCAAGAAACAATTGTTTATTAACCACTTAAGTAAATTATTTAAGCAAATTATTGTTACCTTAATAGCTTATACGTTATTGAATATTCAATTTTTGATTAAATAACATTTTACAAAAATAAATACAAAATATTTTCAAGGATATTATTAAAAATTAAATTTCTGTTTTTTGTATTGATTCCAAATTACCTTTTATGCTAGTTAAGTTTGAATGGATCTGAATTTTAACACAATGCTTAGATTTGTCTATTTTAAACATAAAACACATAGTTTACTAATCTAACTTAAACACATACACATCTATATAGAACCTATTTTATTAAAAGGTTCAGTTTAATTAGGGTTTGTTGAGAAATTTTATTTGACAAACATCATTTACCTTATCGATCTTGTATTGAACGCAATTTTGCAACAAAAAAAAATTCTGCGTTATCATTTTCGAAATCTCTTCATCATTTTTGTAATCTTGCAAGAAAACTAATATTTTTTTCGAATAATATTTTATCATTTTCGGACTTGGATATCTATTTTATAAAGTTAGAAAAGGGCAATTGAATTTTAACTTCATGTTTTCGTAATTTTAACTCCATTCTAGAAGACTAGGTGAATCATAAATAAAAAAATGTAAGACTGAACACTGACATACATATAAAAAAGAATTCACTTAAGTGTTTAAAGCATAGGATAACAATGATAATTCCGGCATAGAGACGAATCATATTTCTGTATAAAAAAATAATTAATGTTTTCTGTTATATTTTGTGTACCTCTGTATTTTTCCACTATATTTTGTCCTCTGAAAATTATGTCCAAGCAAGATTCTTTTTTCCTTGTACTATTTTATACATTGGCTACCTGTATATATTATGCATAAATGTTTAATCAAAGTAACAACTAGCAAAGTTACATCGGAAGTCAACAGTTATCACTGAATGATATGATTTTCAAACTTTATTTTATTTCAAATATTTGATTCTTCTTCCTGACATCCCATTGAATATAGAGATAATGTTTTTTTTTTGGATTTATTTATTTTTACTATTATTTCCAGAATTCTTCGCTTTCCCAACCCAGTAGTTTCTTATTGTTTATCATTGTTTATTTCTTCTTAAACAAAATTTTTCCCCAAGAACTGGTTTCTAAATATTCATTTATTTTATCATTGCATGAGAAAATTTTGTGAATTTGATAATAGTAAAGAAACAAACTATTATCTGGATTTCAAAAATAGTACTCTGTACCTTAAAACGATTTTAAGTATAGTGGGATTATATAGTTGGTCTCGAACTAGATCAAAAAACGTGTCTGTATAAGAAGTACTGCAGTTAAGTGTAGATGTAGTATAGTGTAGTTTAAGAAATATCAGCACAGAAGGAAGTGCTTTTGAAATTAGGCCAGAATTTTTTTTCTGCGTGGAAAAAATATTCCGGTAAAATTACAGTACTGTATGGTATTGAAATTTCTGGCAATTCTTGTTACTAAAATATATGATATTTAAACCATTCATTAGGTAATTTTTCAATTTAGACGGTTGATCAGAAATTCTCGCTTATTAAAGTATTGTTCTTATTACCACAAATTTAGCAAGAAAATACCAACATGAAGAGTAAATTTAACTAAATAAATGGTTTTTAGGCCATGCTGATATTTGAAAAGAAACAACAAGATTAGCGAGTAGTCATCAGGATTTATTCTTTGTCTTAGAATAACAATTGCGAATAATTTTTTACAAGTTCATTTGCTAAAATTCATACCAATAATATTATTTTTAAACATATAATATAGCAATTAGATAAACAGAAATTGTTTGCTGAAAATTATTGATGAAATACGCACTAACTTCTCAGGTGTATATATTATCCAACAATTCTCTTTAAAATTTCTTTACTTTACAAATTGTTTCTGCAAAATGCTTTTAAAAAATATTTTTTTGGATTTATTGATTCAAAAATATTTATTTATAGTATTTTTTAAAAATATATTTAAATATTTAGTTGAATTTGCCCTGAATAGTTGGTATAGTTGCTTAGGCAAAATACAATATAAATTAATATGTTATAAAATTCTTTTTAATTTTAAATTTTTTGCTTTTTTTGAGCAAGGGAACTCAAAGGAAACAAATATATTTTTATAAAGAAAAATAATATTTTGCACATGAGTTTAAGTGCTAAAAAACTTTTGTTATTTATTTTTGCAAACATAAATTACGAATTTCGTTATGTTTATTGATGAAGATATCGATTAAGAACCAAGATTTAAATTCGTTACAAACTGTAAAACTCTTCTGCAGTGCAAACGGAGCTGAACAACTTTCCGCTTGCATTTATCATAACTGACATCGAAATTATTCGATCAATGATTGTGTGTCGGCTAATGCTGCATGCAAAATACAATTCAGAAATGTACAAACACGCATAGGAATGTGTAAGGAAAAAGCGTGATCAACATTAATATCAATTGAATGCCTAATGTAATAGTAGTCACGCGAGCTGAAAAAAAATTTGAATAATGCTCTTGTTTTCCGTTACTATATGGGATTTTAGATCGAAGCCTGTTCCAGAAAATGCTTGAAAATTCTCTTGTTTTACGATATTATATAGGATTTTAGACACAAGCCTGTTCCTGACTAAATACAAATCAAGACATTTGAGCCGCAGTGGCTCAGGTGATAGAGCGCTAGCTTTCCAATGAGGTGAACCAGGCTCGAATCCCAGCGATGGCTGGTTGATTCGAATTCCTCACCCAGTAAAATATCCTCAGTAGTAGACGAACCATGGGCTTCCTTTGCCAAACATGGGAGAATTTCCTGGTTTTCTGCGAAAATCTCTATGCTATTTCATGATTGAATTCATAATTAGCGTGATTAACCTAACAATATATTTCTCGGGTAAATTCCATCAAAAAGTCCTCCACGAAGACAAATTTCTCCCAATACTTATTCCAGGAGTTCTCTTTTCTTCCTGTATTGGGTTTCTAAATTAAAAGACTACGGAGTTGACCATTGCTATTGGAAACCTGATATTGGGTCAGCGTTCAATGATGGTTATAAAAAAAAAGAGAAAAAAGAAAAAAAATAGAAATGTTTAAGAGAGCAAAGCAAAATAACTCCATTAACCCTTTGGTGACTAATCAAGATTTAAATGATGATTGCTGAAAAAGGATTTCGTTGTACGAAACCAAATCCAGAAATCATCTAATTTTACCTATCAAATTTACTTTGTTGAACTTAAATATTATTTAATTCTTCAACTCATTAGTTTCAGTTAAAGTAAAAAAGGGCTCTATAAAATGTCAAAGAGGGCGGCTGAGGCGGAAAAATGCAATATTCGTCCGAAAAATCGCTGAATAACCACATACTTTTTAATTTTTAGTAAAATGCCATCATTTACCAAGTAAACTTGTTCTAAGGATTTTCCGCATTTAATTTAACATATTGAAAATTTGTAAATGTAGCAAGAGTAACAAAGAAAAATATTAGACGATTTTTTTCGAATTGAGATTTTTCTCTCTTATTATATAAAGTTGAGTTGTTTTATTTGTTAGCTCAATCTGTACTTATTTTAAAGAACTGCCACATCCTTTTCGCATAAAATATTCATCATAATTTTTAAAGACCTATTTAAAAGAATGATTTTATTTCACCTATTCAGAAATTTAAAAAAATTACGAATATTATTGTTATTTTTTTCAAGTTCAATATGTCATTCTTACTTATTAATTTTATGACATTCTAAAATTATTAACATACCTAGAATGCCTTTTATTTGCGTTCTTGGAACATCTGAAAGGAAGAAATAGAAATTAATTGAAATGCTAATATATTGAAATTATTAGAAATTAAGAAAAATATGAAATTCAAAAATAAATGTGTATAATTATTTAACAAATTCAGGAATAAGTTTTAATATCATTAAAAGTTTTACACACCATAGATTTCAACTTTCATTTTAGCAATATTTAAATTTCTTATTAAAACAGTACCCATTTTGAGTTCTTTCAGCCTGCTTTAACCTCTCTTAACTTATTTTATCCCATTTTAATGACAAATTACAAAACATGTCACTTTTCAAGTTTTAAGAATATTTGCATACTCATTAAACTCTGAATAATTTATTCACAATATATCTTTCTAACTTATCAATAGAAAATGTTTTAAGCAAGCCATATTTAACCAACTTTAATTACAACTCCATCATAGGTAAATATTATTCAACTTGGAAAAATACATTTTGTTTCCGAAGACACACACTCATCACTTTTCTTTTCAAATTTCATTTGCTGTTTTCATTCTGCTATAAAAAAGGAGCGTTCTTTATGTAACACAGACAGTAATAATGAGTTGGTGGAGAGGAAACACCTTTTCTTTTGATTTACACAGTAGGGCTTTTGTATTGGTTTTCTCTTTATTTGAGCTGTCTTACCAAAACATCGATAATGGAACACACTCGATGTTGACAACTGATGTCTATTGGCTTATCAGTCTTGTAAACTCTGAGAGCCAGGGGTTACAATTTTATCTCATTTTTCATACTTTATTTGTGGTGCTTTGTCTGATAAATCGATTGTATATTGTAGGGTAGTTTTTGCTATTCAATATCATTAGATCGAATGTTCGTTTTCTATAGCTAGTATGTATTTTAATGTATGGATTATTTTCAATTTATGTAATAATTTTTAATGTATGTATTACCAAACGTAAATTATTTTAGGTCTGATTGTGGAATAGATATTCAGAGTGCACGCCATACCTATTTTCATAATTCCATGCACTTTATATTTTATTTCGTTATTATTATTTTTTTAATTATATTTCTGTCATGCGCGTGACTTGTAAATGTTCTGTGATAGAAAATTCAGCAGACTTAATAAATGAATTCAAAAATTGTTTTGAAATACTTTTTGCTAATGACATATTAGGATTACATCAATGGACAATATTCAATAATCATACATCTGTTCTTATTGAATAACCACAGATTATACTAGCACGAGCGCATACACCAGACTACGACAATTCGGATAGGAGGTTAGATGGTGATAATAAATACCCTGCCATCACACCAGACTCCCGAACCGGTCATTAGCGTACGGACTTTTTCAATATTCTTTTTGTGTAAATTCAGCATTAACCACAATTTCCTAGCACTCATAATTTTAATTGATTTATCTGTAGTAAAATTATTCAAATTTATAGTTATTATGGATGCTCAAATGCTTGACATTTGTTACGGTATTTTTTAAAAGGCAATACCTTATAAATTTCCTTGAAAAACACGCGAAGTAAAGTCAAAGACCAGGAATATAGTGAAATACTAAATTTTATGAAAACCACTCATGACCATCCAAAGAATCATAAAAATTCAGATAATTATTAAGAATAAAAATGGATAAAACTTAATATTTTCTAAGTAAATAGTTGCATTTATTGGTTTATTAATATTTATATATTTACTATTAAACTTGCCAAAAGTATTATGCTCAATTGGAAAAAAAAGCATTCGTAGATAATTAAACTTTGTGTTAATCCTAAATACTTTATGTCTATTATTGAATACTTTCTGATAGATTTATTTCATTTCTTATAAACATTCCGTTGAATTTGTTTTTTTACCGATGAGTTAGCGCTAAAGATATAGGTTTAAAATATTATTATAATTGGGTTTCTTTTTTCATTCTCAAGTCAATTGAAATCCAAAATGAACTCAATCAAAATTAAAATGCTTGAAAATAAATACTAATGCTAATGATATTTTTACATTCGTTTTTATCGGACAAATGCAATGGTACTACTATAACCTTTTTTGAAGCCGGATGCAAATTATGTAGCTGAATTGACAAATAATGCATAGCTTTATTTATTTCATTTTATTCACTTATTTTGTTTTTTTTTTCATAATACTAATTTAATGTTAAATGTTCAGTTTCGTATCTTCTTTGCTTTTGAACCCAACTTTTAAGAAAAGGTAATTCTTGGATCAATCCATTGGATCTCCTGAACTATCAGAACCTTTATTGTAAATCCCAGAAATAATTAGAATTACATATTATTATCTATACAATTATATATAATATAATTACAATTATAGAAATAATTATAATTATATATTACAATTATTTATTAACAATTATATTAGTCATTTCATGAAAATCCTCATTATCATTGCTATTATTTTATGTCAAATAATAGATAATAATACATAATTTTCATAATAGATAATTTTCTATTATGCTTTAACGCTTTATAAAATTATTATATAAATAATAATAGTTTACAGCACTGAATAATATCAGCTGTAGCTTCCTTTTAGAACTAGGCGTAAAATTATTATACATTATATAATTACAATTATATAAATAATTATAATTATGTATTACAATTATATTTATAATTGCAATTATACATTAACAATTATATTAGCCATTTCATGAAAATCCGCATTATCATTGCTATTATTTTATGTCAAATAATAAGTAATACTGGATAGTTTTCATAATAGATAATTTTATATTATGCTTTAACGCTTTATAAAATTATTATATGAATAATAATAACTTACAGCATTGAATTATATCAGCTGTAGCTTCCTTTTTGAACTTTGCTGCAAATATTATCTTCGAAAGTTTTGTAATCATCTTCGAAGCTTAGAGCAGACTCTTTACAAAATACTCTTAGATATTAAGTTCGTTTCAAAGTGCATCAACATTTCAACTACCTCAAACACCAGGCATATGTGCTTTACGTATCTGTTTGAGGAATTTTAGTAATCATATTGAAAGCTTAATACATTGCCGTCCCATGTATTATAGGTTGCGCTTATATATTTGCTTAGAGCCATTTCCTTTAAAATATTTATTAAGAAATATTCGGTCGATTAGAAGAGTATTTTAAAAACTAGCAGTATTAAAAAAGTAAATTTTTTGAAGTTTGATTCAACAGCGCTATGCATTTCTTATAGAATAATATTTATTTCATTATTTGAAGACTAATTTAATATTTTATTCTCATTTTCAAATAAATAAATAAATAAAGGAATATAGTACATGTTATGAAAAGTACATGGGGTAAACTACATTGCTATGCTAATTTTTAAAAAAATAACGATTAAAATGAGATAGTTACTACACGGAGAAAAAAAAATTAAGTCAAACATATTTTAATAATTAACTAACGAAGTGAATTCGATTAATAATTAATCGATAGTGACTTTAATCAAACCTTCATAGATGCAAATCAGTTAAATCGGGTTTCGTTCAACGCTTTTCACAATTGTAAAATTCTGCAGAACAATAAGACTAGTGATATTCTTCTGAATTTAAAAAAGCAAAAAACTGCCTAAAATCATTAGGAAATGTCACATCTACTTTAAATAACACCTTGTTCCACTTAACTAGTAAAAATGTATGATTTAATTGGCTTACTCTACTGTTCTTTAAGTAGTGAATTCGGTAATTACAACAATATTGCTAAACTATAATACCCAGATCTGAATATGACATTTGACATTTCACTTAACATTCGTCTTAACAAAAGACCTATTTCAAATATTAAAACCATTGTTGAACTTATTTTGATTAAATTTTTCTTCCTATTCGTGAGAGGTTTAAATAGTATAACGTATAAAAACAATACTCTGTAATAAGTTCGAACCTTTTATTCGTTGCATTCAATTTTTTTCTAAATAAATAGGCCTCGAACCCTGATACAATATAATTTTTTAGGTTAGAAATGATTTTTGATTTACAAAAGTTGTTATAAATCAAATCATACATATACAAAGACATAAAATTCCAAAAAAAGTAAATGTGGAAAAATATACTACAGACTTTCAAGTGAAATTTTTCATTCTGAATATTCATTTAAAATTTAAACTTTATTTAACTGACAAAGATTGCAATCTTTATAACCCACGTATAGATTCTTTCAAAACTTAATATTGATATGAATACACTAATATTGATTAATTTGAGTATTTTACAGTATTTTTTTTACAAGAGATGCAAAATATAAATTTCAATCAAAATTTATTTTTAAACACATTATCTATCTTATAGGATAAAGAACAATATACACTACAATTTTATTACGTGTATGGTCTAGCAATATTGATTTTACCTAACTTAAAAACTACTAGAGGGGTGTAAGCCCCGTTTACCCAAACACGCGATTGTGTAGTAATCATTTTTATGTCCTTAAACTCGTCATTACATAAAAATGAGAAATTATTCAATTACAGAGTCCCAACATTTTTTAATGTACCAATGCAGAATTGTTTAAACAGATTAAGTTTCGGATTCTATTGAGATAAATTTTAAAATTGATAAATTTTTTTCAAACTAATTTTTTTTTAAAATTTTATTTATTATATGATTACTATAAAAACCCATTAAATATATTTTGCGAAATATCTTATTCAGCAAACCTGTTCCTAACATTGATTTAAAATTTCAGAGAGTTATTTATTATTATTTATTTTAATTGTGTATGTTGACTGAATAAAGTTTTGCAAAATTTTCCTCATTTGTAAAGAAAGAATAAACATTATCCCTTATTTATTCGATGAAATAAAAATTTAAAATTCTTCAGACATCAATATAGCTGTAACTTACAATCCTATACCACTACAATCATTCACCTCCAATTGAATACAAGTTCTATTCAAGCCAGTCTCGCCAAGTACTTGCAATTACATAATTTCCAAAATGTGATTGCGAGTTGGCATTTATGACGTCTTTCGCCAAGGTGCTACCTTTATCCCTTGTGAATACTCACACAGATTTTGA